GGAGGCGGGCCGGAATCGATCTCGTTGACGCAGGAGAGGGGGATGTCCTCTTTTCCATTAGTGATGTCTGGAATGTAATAGAAGGGCCTCTGTGGCTGGAAGGGCCGGTCCACGAGCACGTAGGGGTCGAGACAGAACATCTCCAAGAAGATAAAGTCACAGCGCGTCTGGAAGAGGTAATGCTGGATCTCCCCCATGTTTCGCAGGCAAAGCCCACACGGAGCCTTGTAGATCACATGGAAAGACATCTGAGGGGTGGACAAGAGGAAGACAAGAGTTTTAAAATTCAATGTAGGTAGTCGTTCATACAGCTACTACATCATACTACTCTTCCTTCATATTTACCTTCCGGTTAACTTTGCGCCGTCCCGTCATGCGTCTGAAGTCGTACAGTAGAGGTGTGAGGAGGGGGTTCTTCCCTCGGTGCACGTCTGGTTTTACAGGTCTGACGCGGTTCAGACATGCGGGCTGACAGGCATGTGCCAGGTAGAAGATGCGGTCCGTGGAGGCGCGGTAAGAGGGCTGATGTGGGACGACGGCCATCGTTTGGGGAATAGCAGGGGGGAAAGAGACCAGAAGAGGGGGTCTCGGAAAGGATTGCTTGAAAGTGGGACCAACAATATCCTGGGTGCTCAACATTCTTGGACTATGGATTGACAAAATAAAGAGAAAAAGAGAACAGGTCAGCATCTTATTAGGACTGTACAAAATGTTTTGAATAAAGCTCTTAAATGTGCATGTCAAATAACTAGTTTGACGTTTTGTTTTTTCGTTTTTCATGCAACCATGCTAAGTTTTCAGAGTGCCTTTCATACATTTAACGGGAGAACTCAAATATGGAATATACTTAAAATGCCCTTTAACTTATTAGAACAAATGATGAGGTGGACTCACCTCATGGGGCCGGCAGAAAGAGACTGCATGATTTTGGAGGCATGGGTCCCTCCTATCCCTGGAATAAACGGAGAGGTGCTCTTCTTTGCCATCTGATGTTTGTTGCTTGAAGACAGCGAGGAGAAAAAGACAGTCAGTCAGTATCAAAGGTTTCCACTGCCCTTATCGTCTAGGTTTAAAGCTCCAAAAATCTACTGTTTGTCTTTCATTGAATTAGCATCAAACATGTGTAATGTGAGAGCGGTCAATGGTTATTGATTTCCATCAGGAGTTGGTGTAGCTGAAAAACCAAAAATAATGAATATTGTATTGAAATGTATCGGGGAAAAAAAAGAAAAATTGCAAAAACATGAATCGAAATAAAGGTTAATGTTAGTCTTTTAAATGTGTAAAAAAGGTTGTCTATCAATTCACATTTTGTGTAACTAAGCCACTGCCAGGTCATTATATGTGTATTTTGTGTTGTTTTGGTTGTTCTGCTGCCCCAAAGTGGCCCAACATTATGCTGCTTTGAGAAGGACTTAATGAGTACTTTAACACCAGGTAGAAAAGCAGTGTTTTGCTGCCTTCTCTGGTGGAAAATGTAAAACCTGTTTTCAGTTATTAAACTTTTTATAAGCTAACGCCCACTTTATTTCAAATTAGTATGAATGAAATTGGGAAGATTTCACAGTGCAGTATAATACATGAATACAATTATTTTCTCCCTTTTCACAAATGGTGATCTCTCAGTGTTTTTATTGGGATATTGTGACGTTAAACCTCTAACTGGATCATAAGAAGACACAGATTTTTGTTATCGAGATTTTTTCATATAAAAAGGTATATCGCCCTCCGTTGATTCAGATTTTGTTGCAGAGTATACACCACAGAAAAAAATGCGTTCAGGAGTGTTAGTGTTGGATCAGAAATCATCACTTACTCAACACGAAGAGGCTGAGGGGGCTGAGGAGGCGGAAGAATCTGTTGGATTTGTTGTGGCTGAAGACCCTGTTGTTGGTGTTGTTGTTGTTGTTGGTGTTGTTGTTGTGATTTTTGTTGTTGTGGTGATTGTTGTTGTGGTGATTGTTGTTGTGATATCTGCGGAGGCTGGCTGGGTGAGCCCTGCGGCGTTTTGACCGAAGTTCCAACATGTCCGTCACTGGTGTACTGGACTACTGGACCTTTACTCCTCAACGCCCCTGAAGATTAAAGTGGACAAAAAACAAAACATAACACATGAATGAATGTTCTTGAACATGATATTAACAGAAACACTCTAAAAATGGTGGTCGTTTTCTTTGGGCGAGACACCATTTACCTGTAGTGTCTCCCCTTAAAACACTGCATCAACTTGTTATAAATTGGGCTTTTGACATGGATCAATGGTGTAGGTTGAAACATTACCCATGTTAGGACGGCTCCTCTGCTGGCCAGCCAGCTTCTTCTCCTGGGTGTTGGCGGAGGTCATCTTCAGGTTGAACATTGGCTCCAACCTGGTGGAGCCTCTGTAAATCCATTCACTCCTCTTGTCATCCTGATAAACACAAAAAGCTTCATCAACTGCTGCACAGATAGGTCCACTTCAATCTGATGTGGGTACTGGCAATGAACATAAATCCTTCTTTTAACTAGTAGATGCTTTTTATCATTGATCTCACCAACATACCAAAAAGAGGATCTTGACCAAGCTCCCTTCCACCTCCTCCACTTTGCTCTTCCACCAGGTTCCCTCCCACTCCGTCTTGATGATCTGTCCGACCTTCAGGAGCACCATAGGCCTGCTGGGATATGCCGTGATGTACTCCTCAATGAAGTCTCGGCATGATGCATCCTCTATATCCTCCCAGGTACGCTTCACTGTGAACAAGGATCATCACAGTCTTTAATTAGTATATTCATTCATGCATTTAAGTAATTCAACAGATAACAAAAAAGAAAGAAAACATGGAGAAATTGGCACTTACATGGTCGGCAAACTGGGTGGAGATCAGGTAGGTGGACATATGAAGCATAGCCATCATCAAAAAATATCAGAAACCTGAAAAGATACAATAAATGTTTAAATTCAAGGTCATTTGTTGTCATTCTGCAACACAATTTTGCACAGCAAAATGCGAATGGACCAACAAATGTTTGCTATACCTCAATTTAAAATTGTGTAATGCCGGCCAAAATATTCCCTGTCTACAATTGGCCTTAGTTTAAACTCTAAATCCACGGACCTCATGCGGTTCTTGTTGTTGGGCATCTCTGCCACGACTCCAGCGTAGAGCCACACCAGGATGCCGTCCTGGTACTTGGCGACGACACGAGCCCCGACATACAGAATCTCCAGGGTGGGGTTATATTCGAAAGCTACATGATTCCCAGACAGCAGACTCTTCCCTTTATCAAACTTCACTTTATACTTGAATACACCATTTCCTGAAAATAAACAGAGGGAGTGTTTATTTATAGATGGCACAATTGAACTAATAAAATACAAAATACAATAAATAATTATATTTACAGGAAACTTGAAGGGCATCAAAGAAGAATGAAATGTTTTGGTAACGTACCGACAGGGCTGATAGAAACGAGGGTGCCTTTGTGCCAGGTCTTGGTGCGTTTCTTTCCCAGAATGGTCATCCCGACTCTCAGCTCGTCTTCTGTGATGTTCGGGTTCGGCTGCGTCATGGAATGAGACGGAGCCTGGGACACAAACACTGCTGGCACTGAAGCCTGAATACCTGAAGGAAGGAACAGCCAAACACACTGTTAACATAAAATCTACTTTCACACAGGTGTGGATTATCTAACATTGTTTAGGGAATAGATGTGTGCTAACCTGACTGCGGTGGAGGCTTTAATGGAGACCGTGGCAAAGCAGCATTTAGTGAAGGCTTGGTGACAATGTGGACCAACTTCTGCACCTGCTGGGAGGTTTTCTGTAGCGCTGTCGAGGCATCTTTTAACTGGAAAAATTAAACATGCCATCATTATCTGCATACACTACAATCAAATGGATAGAATATCCACAGTTTCGTATATACAGTGGGGCAAAAAAGTATTTAGTCAGCCACCAATTGTGCAAGTTCTCCCACTTAAAAAGATGAGAGGCTTGTCATTTTCTCTATCCTAGGTATACCTCAACTAAGAGAGACAAAATGAGAAGAGAAAAAAAATCCAGAAAATCACATTGTCTGATTTTTAAAAACTTTATTTGCAAATTATGGTGGAAAATAAGTATTGGTCAATATCAAAAGTTACATCTCAATACTTTGTTATATACCCTTTGTTGGCAATAGACAGAAGGTCAAACAATTTCTTGTAAGTACTTCT